CCTTCCTTCCTTCCTTTCTTTCTTCCTTCCTTCCTTCCTTCCTTCCTTCCTTCCTTCCTTTCTTTCTTCCTTCTTTCCTTCCTTCCTTCCTTCCTTCCTTCCTTTCTTTCTTCCTTCTTTCCTTCCTTCCTTCCTTCCTTCCTTCCCTCCCTTTTCCACTGATTAATTGTTCTGTCAGGAAATTTCTCCTTAGTTCCAAGTTGCTTCTCTCCTTGATTAGTTTCCACCCATTGCTTCTTGTCCTTCTCTAACCTGTACAATCCTTTCTCTTTGTGGTTGGCTGTCTTCCTTAAATCACGATTGCCCAAACCACGGCTGTGCCGAATGTGTGAACCCAATTAGAGAAATGGGCTGCAGGCAACAATTCTCCAGTTAGGTGCCAGGTTTCTTTAGGACTGTGGCTGACTCAGGTTACATGGGATTTTCCACCAGCCAAGACAAAGATGAAATCAAAGTTTGTTTTAAAGATGTTTGTCATTATTATTATTTTTTGCAAAACCAGCCAACCGTAATCCTGGGAAACGGCTTCCTCTGTGCCTTGTTTTTGCTCTCAGATTCCTGGCAAAACATTGTGAAATTATTGGACGATGTTCATTGTAATTATCTAGCAGGTTACCTGTTCTTTATTTCTTTCTTCCTTCTTCCTCCTTCTTCCTCCTTCCTCCTTCCTCCTTCCTCCTCCTTCTTCTTCTTCTTCTTCCCCCCCCTCCTCCTCCTCCTCCTTCTTCTTCTTATGATGTGATTAAATGTTATTTAAGTCAGTCAGGAGGCTGGGTTGGGAACTCCACAAAGGAATTCATTCGCTGAAGAATTGTACTGGAATGCCGGATCTGTTCCTTTTGCAAAGCTTAAATTTTAAAGAGAAGTTTGGCATTTCACTAGTTGACTAAAACCGGAGAACAGAATTAATTTTCTCCCAGCACATGAATAGAAATACCCTAAATGTATAAATGATTGTGACTGATGCTAAAACTGTATAAGGAGATACTGAAAAATGGGAGAGTGAAGGATGGAACGTTGATTTAACTAAGGAAACATGGACAGCAAAATAGGTGGAGAACACCTCTTTGAATATCATAGCGATATGAAAGTTAAAATAGGGATAGAAAATAATGGGGTAAAATAATAATTATTAATATTAATATGTTAAGATAGACAAGAGGACCGAAAGATGGTTCAGAAAGGAAGGGTGATCATAAAAGACATGTATAAAGAATATGAAACAATGGAAGTGAAATGTAATATTTAGGAATAATAAGACTATCTTTATGTCTACTGAAATGTATGTTGCCCAGTTTCCACACCAGTCACACGTTGACATGTATAAAGAGTATAAAAAATTAAAATTTGATTGAATTTAAAAAAAAATGAATTTCTCTCCCAGATCTGAATTTCTAAATATCTGAAGATAGCCAAGAGGCCTCTTCTCAGTTTTTGGTCCTCTAGATCAGTGTTTCTCAACCTTGGCAACTTGAAGATGTCCGGACTTCAATTCCCAGAATTCCCCAGCCAGCATTCGCTGGCTGGGGAATTCTGGGAGTTGAAGTCCGGACATCTTCAAGTTGCTAAGGTTGAGAAACACTGCTCTAGATTGAAAGACAAGGGCCTTCAACTGTCCTCAGAAATCATGTCCTTGGGTCTACGTACCATCTCTGACAGCCTCCTCTGAACCTGTGGAGATTCTCCGTCATCCACCAGATCACGGTTGTCCCAAAGGGGCTTTTCCAAGAGGCCACTGGACACCTTTGTTTTGACTTGAAAGAAGTTTCGCTTCTCATCCCAGAAGCTTCTTCAGCTCTGACAAACTAGTGGAGACTCTAAAGCAGTGTTTCTCAACCTTGGCAACTTGAAGATGTCCGGACTTCAATTCCCAGAATTCCCCAGCCAGCATTCGCTGGCTGGGGAATTCTGGGGAGTTGAAGTCCGGACATCTTCAAGTTGCTAAGATTGAGAAACACTGCTCTAGAGGCCCCAGACCACTCCTAGTTGGGTGGCACAGCCATGCCTGATGCCCAGCACAGCCTCTTTCTAATGGGTCCCCCAGGAGTCCTCTCAATCTGGCCGCCTTGCTATGTGGCTCCCTAGGCCCATTGGGGGGGGGGGAGGGAGCACTGGGCAGATCGCTTGGA